AATGATGGAGATGACCACATGAGAAGGAAATGCTGGAGATGACCACATGAGAAGGAAATGATGGAGATGACCACATGAGAAGGAAATGCTGGAGATGACCACATGAGAAGGAAATGCTGGAGATGATCACATGAGAAGGAAATGCCTATGCAAGGCGTGCAGTCTGATGTTTTGACAAGTTCCCGTGACTCAGTTAACTGTAAACATGCTAATTGTTAGCTTTGAATCGGTGTCTTGTTCCCATGTACCTAAACAAGGCACAATGAAAACTAGATGTTTGTTTAGATTGACATGATTTTTTTTAAACATGGACATGAATACTAAAAGATTTCTTAGCTATACATTTTTATTGTTGGGCTGAATTTCTGGATCGGACTATAGTTTACTTAACAATATTTTTTTTTTCAGTCGCCTCATTGATTTGTTCGTGGGCGAGTGGGGGGGGGGGGGGGGGGGGGGAGGGGAAGCTCTTCTCTCTTTTGTGTGCTCCTTCTAATGCCTTGTATAAGTTTGTCGTCATTGCCTTAATCCTTGTGTCATCGTTGCGTTTTTGCACCAAACTTTGGTTACATTATGTGTCTTCAGCCATGGCTCTCTTTGGCAGCTGGTAACAGGGCATTCTTGTCAGATGACAAAACCATATCTATTTCTCTTTAATGAACTGTATGACTAGTTTCGTTTCTAGTCTCTTTCTAACTGTTCAATGTTAATTTGATCTGTTCTTGTAAGATCATCACGATTCTATGACATCTCATCTTTTTTATCAGTCAGCCCTCGTTATTTGTAGCAACAGCTCATCTCTTTTATCAGTTAGCCCTCGTTATTCGTAGCAACATCTCATCTCTTTTATCAGTCAGCCCTCGTTATTTGTAGCAATATTCCATGTCTGACATTTTCTAGAGAAGATTAGAAAACAACATAACACATATGTCAGATTGTGGTGTAGCGACCTGGGAATCAGAAGGTCGTGGGTTCCAATCTGGACGGTGTTGGACTTTTTCTCAAAAATGATCCTGGCTGGCAAGTTGACGCAGCCTTAAATGGGTACCAGCTAAAAGTCCTAGGTAGTAAAGGTGGCCGGCGTGATGCTGACCACATCTCCCATAGAGTACCGATTGTACTATACATGATAGGGCTAGCCCTATATACCCAACACCCCTGAAGGTATGGACAAGGGTCCTTTACAATTACCTTAGACACGCAAAGGACATTGCGGCTATTATCCTTCATCAGCAGAGCAATGAAGAGAAAGCAAAATGCAGCACGCATAGTACACATGAACCAACACTGAAATCACGTGCACATATTTAATGTTCTTCCAAAATCTTTGGTAGATTTGCATTAGCTTGACTGCAGTCATATTCTGTCTGTCCTTGGTGGCAGCTTGACTGCAGTCATATTCTGTCTGTCCTCGATGGCAGCTTGACTGCAGTCATATTCTGTCTGTCCTCCATGGCTTCTACACAGGGGAAGTCAAGGTCCAGTAATATAGACCAGGGTGTCAGTACTTGGGTACTTGTGTGTAAGTACTTGGGTGTAAGTACTTGGGTGTCAGTACTTGTGTGTAAGTACTTGTGTGTAAGTACTTGAGTGTAAGTACTTGTGTGTAAGTACTTAGGTATAAGTACTTGTGTGTAAGTACTTGGGTGTAAGTACTTGGGTGTCAGCACTTGTGTGTAAGTACTTGAGTGTAAGTACTTGTGTGTAAGTACTTAGGTGTAAATACTTGTGTGTAAGTACTTGGGTGTAAGTACTTGGGTGTCAGTACTTGGGTGTAAGTACTTGGGTGTAAGTACTTGGGTGTAAGTACTTGTGTGTGTAAGTACTTGGGTGTAAGTACTTGTGTGTGTAAGTACTTGGGTGTAAGTACTTGTGTGTGTAAGTACTTGGGTGTAAGTACCTGGGTGTAAGTACTTGGGTGTAAGTACTTGGGTGTAAGTAGTTGGGAGTAAACTTTAACTGCCACAACACACTAAGAGAAGAATTAATCTAATCTAGAATGCAATCTGGAAAGAACGTATACTATGCCTGCAACATCTGCTAAAAGTAAAGTTCATGTCTCAAAACACCACGATCGAAATTTCTAGAACGTTGAAAAGACCAGTTGTTTTATATGGTTGTAAAGCTCGGAGCGCAACTAAAAGAGATGAAGCCTCATTGCAAATTTATGAAAAGCCGTCTTACGACGAATCTTTGGACCCACCAAAGATGCAAACAGCGGGAAATGGAGAGTAAGAAGCAACAACGAAATTAATAACAATCTGTCACCATTATCGTTGGCATCATGAGGGCTCATAGACTGAAATGGCGGAGGCAAACTGAAAGAATGTCAGATGACAGAGAGGTTCAAAACTATGTACACATTGTCGTAGACGACGAGGCAGACCAAGAAGAATACGGAGAGATAATGTCCAGGTAGACCTACATAGACTTAGTGTCACCAGCTAGAAAGAGAAGGCCAACCTAAGAGAGCGTTATGGGCCCTTAGGCAAACCAGTTTGCTGGGGCCCTTTCTACAGCCATTGGCAGGAATAAAATGTAAATGGTCGATAATGTTAAACATACACTTATTTTGGCATCATCATGCCGTGCCTTGTCGTTCATGCAACTCCACAGATCTCGTTCCCTTGTTCTCTGGATCAGCTCCTCCAATGCGCAGTCGATAAGAGGCTCGCTTTCAAATCCAGCTGCGTCTCGCTGCAGCCCACGGTCGTTGTTCAAAACCGGGCGGTTTCCGGGGTTAAACAGCCTCTAGGAAATGGGTAACAGAGTTGACACTCTGGGGTAAATGGAGGAACGTCGCTGTAGCTACAGAGTTACGTGCGAACGGCGACACAGGCGGACAATTCTTATCAGCTGTCCGTACTGGTGGCAGAGCACTTATGGTTTATATCCGTGTGCAGTGACGCTGGTTCACATCTCCCTACTTTACCTTTACATTTCCTCCGATGATATCTCTCATAGTCCATCCGTAATCAATACTCTTGGTCTTCCTCTCCCTCTTACCGATGATCTTCTCTGTCGTCACAATTCTGTCTAAATCCAAGGGCTTCGGAAAGCTGAAAGAGAAAGAACAATCGGCACCCATCTAGTCGCTACACCATGCGGCCCCCAAATAACAAAAGACGGTTGAATAAACAAACATGAGACTAATGAAAATCGTGAGTAGAGAAAAGCAACGGGACAAACCTGAGACGAGAGAGAGAGAGAGAGAGAGAGAGAGAGAGAGAGAGAGAGAGAGAGGCGGGATAACTCTGGACAACAAACTGTCGCAGACGACAAGATGTCCCCGAGCGCGGCTGTTGTCTTCCAGCGGTTCATGTTGGTTGTTGTTGTGTTAGACGATGGAAATCATAATCATCACTGCTAATTATTACAGCTAAGTCATAGACACAGGGATCAAGTGTCTGCACACGCTATGCACGTACAGACACATTTATATTAACTTATATAAGTGAATACTTCCAGTCGGCTTGATTCACGTTTCAGACAATAACATCAACATTTTAGAATATCATAAATATGAAGTCGCTGACTGGCCGGGCTGCAGGCAGGAAGCGAAACCAACAGATCGATACAAGCAGTGTGGGCATATGATGGCATGTTACTTGTTACTGTTTTCTGTTCTCATACATGTTGTTACACATCCTTCTTGCTCGACATTGCTAACCCGCCAGTTGAATACGAAATTACTTCCTTCAGCAAGAGGCAGCGGTTTGTTTTGTCGAGACTCAGAACCAAAAGATAATTCATCATCATCAACTTACGTAATAATTAATAAAGCAGTTGATTTGAACAGTATAATTCTGTATCGATGAATTCAGTAATTTTTTTCCTGGAGGAAATGACATAATTAATGTAAATTAATAGTATTATTTCGTACATACTGTCGTAATTATATTAATAAAGCAGTATTAAATTGTTCTGAACAATTATCATGGAACTGTAGGAGTGCTAACTGTGTACACAACAAATGATGTACAGTGTACATTGCTTGCAGAGAATTAGAAATGGTTAATTGTGTGCACACATAATGGTGTACATTGCCAAGTGTTAATTTCGTGTCATTTGCTTGATCTGATGTCAGTGTCTTGTACAGGGAGCTAACTGTTTTGTTTCGGGCACATGCCCACGTTTTAATGAAATCTCTTTCTTAGCAACAGTCACAAATATTTTCATAGTTCACAAATTCCGAATTTATAATTGTGTTTTATTTTTCAGTGTGACAAGTTACCGGCACTAAAACCCGTTTATCTCCTGTTGTGAAGCAGCTGTTTGACAGTTTTCTGTCATGTCACCTTCAATTTAGGGCTGCAAAATAAAAAAGTTGCCACTGTGCTGCTGTTATTTATAATTTCCCTACGTATATTGGTAACACAGTATGTACACACGTGTCATCATTGCGGGCCAAATTGTCCGCTTGAACATAGAAGTGAAGGCACTAGACTTTTTTTTCTTCTGAGGAGTAGTCAGTAAATAATATCATGTTGAAATAGTTGACTGGCTCTAGCTGCGATGATTCGTTGTGACACAGCCAATGATTGCCTCATTCTGTTGGTGATTGATTTACTGTGGCACAGTGCAATGATTGATTTTCTATGAAAGGGAAATAAGAGAACTAATTTTTTTTTTTTTGGACACTACAAGTGATAGATTCATCTGATTGTCATACTGCAAGTGATTGATTCATCTGATTGTCATACTGCAAGTAATTGATTCATCTGATTGTCATACTGCAAGTGATTGTATCATTTGATTGTCATACTGCTGAAGGTCAAGGTCAACACTCCTGAATATGTTTGATGACATTCTAGTGATTGACAGTTAACTCTGTTTGTTATGACTGTGATACAGCATGATCTTCTCTTCTACTCACTGATTGATTTGAATGTAAATTTATTCCCAAACAGCTCATCATTGATTGTGATGTGATAGTGAATGATTGACTGTGATGTAAAAGTGAATGATTGTGATTCTGTATCTGACAACAAACTGGCATCATGAAGATTGTCAACGAGAAGAGCTTGCTGCACCTGGCCACATCTGATTACCTCACAGACAAAGAAGGATACTTGTACAAGAAAACGGAGCTCAGCAAAGGTTTTCAGAAGCGCTGGTTTGTTCTTAAGGGAAACCTGTTGTTTTATTTTGGGAAGAAGGGTGAGCGAGAACCTCTGGGTGTTATCATCTTAGAAGGTTACACAATCGAACTTGCAGAAGATATGGAAAATTTTGTGTTTATGATTAACTTCACTGGCGTAGAGTCAAAGGCTTACTACCTGGGGGCTAAATCTCAGGAAATGATGGAGTCATGGATGAAAATTCTCTCATGTGCCGGATATGATTTTATGAAGCTAAAGATACTAGAACTTCAGAGCCGAGTGGAAGAACTCTCCTTAACTGGAGTAAATCTGGTTAAAGCAGCCATTAAGGATGGCCAGATTTTAAGCCATGTCTATGGTACTGAAAGTGCCTGTTCATCATGTGATGTGGACAACAAACATGCTGTTGGTTCCTGGACACTTTCAGATCCTAGCCATGATCATGGGCATCCTGCCTGTAGCCAGTGCTCCAAGGGGAGCCCAGCTTTTGGGCAGGTTTCTTGTCCAGTGTCCTCGACTCCCAAAGTCGATCTTGTGACATGGCCAGTCCTGGGACTGCAGTCTTTCACAGAAATGCATGACTTTGTCAAACAGCAAATTGATAGGATCCCAAATTAATGATCTCTCTGCCATCTTCTTGCACGTCCTGTGATAACCTGAATCAGTTGAGGGACTTCCATGTAGCATTTCTTTTTCAATCATGTGCTTTAATGGCTTGAATTGTCTGAATAGATGTATTTACAGTGTTTGATGATATTTTGTCTTAAGGAAAGCTGTTTTCATAATATACTGATATTTTACTAATATTATTTTACTGTTATTTTACTGATATACAGTGTTCAGTTTCCAAGTAAATGTCAGAAATGATTGGGCATTGTTACGAAAACTTTGGTGTCCATCATGGGAAAGTTGACATTGATTCACAGGAGGTTGATGCCCAGTGAGATTTAGGTGCTGTTTATTTACTGCTGAAGCTCGGGGAATTATTGGATTCACAGATATGCAGTCATTACCTGATGTCAGTTAGCTGGTAGAGCTTACACCAAGAGGTGCATTCATTCAAAGATGTATTGTTGCACCTGACTATATTACCTTGTCAAGGTGGGCATTGCATTCACAGATATACAGTCATTACCTGATGTCAGTTAGCTGGTAGAGCTTACACCAAGCAGTACATTTATTCAAAGATGAATTGTTGCACCTGACTGTATTACCTTGTCAAGCTGGGACAAGATTTGCCTGCCGTTGTTTTTACCTGAGAGAGGGGGGGGGGGAGAGGGGGAGGAAGAGAGAGAAGGGAGGGAGAGGAGAGAGAGAGGGGGAGAGAGAGAAAGGTAGGGGAGAGAGAGGGGGGGGGGAAGAGAGAAAGATTCAAGCACACAGTAATCAAGATCTGCCAAAGCAGCACTATTTCTTTTAACTCTTAAGAGATAAATTATTTTACAAGGTACTTCCTAAAAAATTGCTATTCTGTTTTTGTCAGATATTTATGATTATACTGTGTATCAAAAGTTGATATTATTGGAATTTTTGGGGTGGCTTTTAAAGAACTGTTTCTTTGGTTGTTTATTGGAGAAAAAAAATGTGTCAATATTTATGACATTTCAGAGACAATAACTGAGAATACTGTGCACCACGTGCAGAGACATTAACTGAGAATACTGTGCACCATGTGCAGAGACATTAACTGAGAATACTGTGCACCATGTGCAGAGACAATAACTGAGAATACTGTGCACCATGTGCAGAGACATTAACTGAGAATACTGTGCACCACGTGCAGAGACATTAACTGAGAATACTGTGCACCATGTGCAGAGACAATAACTGAGAATACTGTGCACCACGTGCAGAGACATTAACTGAGAATACTGTGCACCATGTGCAGAGACATTAACTGAGAATACTGTGCACCATGTGCAGAGACAATAACTGAGAATACTGTGCACCACGTGCAGAGACATTAACTGAGAATACTGTGCACCATGTGCAGAGACAATAACTGAGAATACTGTGCACCACGTGCAGAGACAATAACTGAGAATACTGTGCACCACGTGCAGAGACATTAACTGAGAATACTGTGCACCACGTGCAGAGACAATAACTGAGAATACTGTGCACCACGTGCAGAGACAATAACTGAGAATACTGTGCACCATGTGCAGAGACAATAACTCTGAGAAAACTGTGCACCACGTGCAGAGACATTAACAACATGTTACCCATATGGCTCTCAGGGAAACATCGGTTTGACTTGCTTGGTCTACATTGCTCTTCAGGGACCATTTTCATGTGAGAAGAGACCCAGACTAGATGATATCTTATAGACCTTGGCGGAGCAGAGGAGCAGTGATATGACATGTGATCTTTTTCGTTATGTGCTATTTGGTTTGTTTACTTCACATATTTGAAATCACGTATGCCCGCTCTACTCATCCCCGCACACCAGCACTCCACACATTCGCACACCATACATCCGCATTCCACACATCCTCACTCCACACATCCGAACTCCACACATCCACACTCCACACATCCTCACTCCACACATCCGCACTCCACACATCCGCACTCCATACATCCTCACTCCACACATCTGCACTCCACACATCCGCACTCCATACATCCTCACTCCACACATCTGCACTCCACACATCCGCACTCCATACATCCTCACTCCACACATCTGCACTCCACACATCCGCACTCCACACATCCACACTCCACACATCTGCACTCCACACATCTGCACTCCACACATCTGCACTCCATACATCCGCACTCCACACATCTGCACTCCACACATCCGCACTCCACACATCCCTATCAGTGATACCTTGTTTGGTTTTGAGTAAAGCAGTAATTGTGATTGACTCACGCCCTGTGATTTGTTGACTGACTGTATTTGACATAATTTCCCTGCATTACACAGATTATTGATCTGCTTTATTTTTGTTTGTTATCAAGTTGCTAGATCTGAGAGTTCTGATATTACTAACTACTATTTCATTTCTACGATGGCTCTTGCCAGACAAGTCATAATTTATTTATAATATTTTGAGATGTGGTTTACCTTGATAATAATACAAATAATTTAATGGATAATTTAGTTGAGTGTGTGTATGTGTCGACTGACAGTCTGTCCTGTATACAAAAATCTGAGTGCATATTTATGTGTTTGTCTATTCTTGTTTCTCACCTAGAGAGCAAAGGGCTCAAGGAGCATTGGTTGTGTTGTTTGTAACGTGCAGGGGACACAGTCACACCAATAGATATTACAGTGTGGATATATCTCTCTATGTATCTATGTATTTGATACTGACATGTACTGATGGTTTTCTTTTTCAACCAGAGGAATTCGTTTTTAACAGGTTTTTATGTTTTTCTTTGAAAGTGACAACATGCAGCGGAATTCAGTGATCTCATGATGCGATTATTTGTTACTGTACTTTGTCTGAAACAGAGGAATTATACATCCATCATCATCGTCATGTGGCATGTGATACTTTAAAATTGAGTATTTTCATATACTGTTGACTGTTTTTTTTTTTGGTCTGTGGGGTGGTGGATCACTGGGCAGCTAGTTCATCCATGTGTCTGTCATCTAGGGCCTGGCAGGGCAAGGGATCTGTCACCTAGGGCCTGGCAAGGCAAGGGATCTGTCTGTCAGCTAGAGCCTGGCAAGGCAAGGGATCTGTCTGTCACCTAGAGCCTGGCAGGGCAAGGGATCTGTCTGTCAGCTAGAGCCTGGCAAGGCAAGGGATCTGTCTGTTACCTAGGGCCTGGCAAGGCAAGGGATCTGTCTGTTACCTAGGGCCTGGCAGGGCAAGGGATCTGTCTGTTACCTAGGGCCTGGCAAGGCAAGGGATCTGTCTGTTACCTAGGGCCTGGCAAGGCAAGGGATCTGTCTGTCACCTAGAGCCTGGCAGGGCAAGGGATCTGTCTGTCAGCTAGAGCCTGGCAAGGCAAGGGATCTGTCTGTTACCTAGGGCCTGGCAAGGCAAGGGATCTGTCTGTTACCTAGGGGCTGGCAAGGCAAGGGATCTGTCTGTCACCTAGAGCCTGGCAGGGCAAGGGATCTGTCTGTCAGCTAGAGCCTGGCAAGGCAAGGGGTCTGTCTGTCAGCTAGAGCCTGGCAAGGCAAGGGATCTGTCAGCTAGAGCCTGGCAAGGCAAGGGATCTGTCTGTCAGCTAGAGCCTGGCAAGGCAAGGGATCTGTCTGTCACCTAGGGCCTGGCAGGGCAAGGGATCTGTCTGAACTAGGGCCTGGCAGGGCAAAGGATCTGTCTGTCCAAGCTCATTTACAAATCTGAGTCTGTAAAGCGCGGGCCTGCCGTTATAGAGCATCATTATCAAGTATTAAAGCCCTTGGCCTGGCAATGACAACTTCCTGTTGAGGCTGTTCCTTGGTTGTCTGTGTGGCCTTGATCTCAGACATCTCTGTCTGCAGTATAGAACTGCGCCTCTCTGTTATTTCTTTCTGTTTCTCTCTATTTTGCCTTATTCTTTCTGTCCTTCAAGCCTGTATTCTGCCTTTTGATTCTCTGTTTGCCATGTGTCTATAGTCTGCCCTCCAATACTCTCTTTGCTGTTCGGCAATATCTGCAGATGTGACCAAGCCATGAGAATCTCCGCACAGATATTCAGTGCTCACCATGTCACTGCAGCTGCTACTTGCCTTGGTCACGTCACATCTGAAATGTATGTGCTAGTTTAACCATGTTTTACCATTGTCTCTCTCCAAGGAGTTGTATAATACCATTGACCTCTTGTATCTTTGGTTCTTGTCTGCAGACCCACTTCTGCTGTAATCTTTAATGACAGGATTGCCTTTGTTTTGTTTCTAAATGCTCCCATTGCCATGACAACTCTTATTCTGTCTGCCTCATATTGGGCAGCTTCCATGACTGTTTGATCTAGCTAAGTATATTTTATGGTTGGATGCTAGGTCACCAAGAATGCAAGTGTCTGTTAACTTGAACTCTTCCAAAACACCAAAGGTTATTTTGTCATAAAGGTTTCTTTCTGTTATGGTTGAATCAGCGTGTCTACTAAAGATGGCCAGATAACAGCAGATCTGGCTTGTGGTAGAGTGTTTGTGTCTACTAAAAATGAGAAGATAGCAGCAGGTCTGGCTTGTGGTAGAGTGTGTGTGTCTACTAAAGATGAGCAGATAGCAGCAGGTCTGGCTTGTGGTTGAGTGTGTGTGTGTGTCTACTAAAGATGAGCAGATAGCAGCAGGTCTGGCTTGTGGTCGAGTGTGTATGTCTACTAAAGATGAGCAGATAGCAGCAGGTCTGGCTTGTGGTAGAGTGTGTGTGTCTACTAAAGATGAGCAGATAGCAGCAGGTCTGGCTTGTGGTTGAGTGTGTGTGTGTGTCTACTAAAGATGAACGAACGAACGAACGAACTTTATTTTCAAAGGGTCACAAATTGGGCACGCAGTCCCGTCTTACATTCGGCCCTTCCAGTCAACCATCTTTCGCACAGCAGTTGTATTTTACTAATAAAGCATGTTATGATCATATGATGATATGCATATTATGAATATTATAAAGGAACACAAAAGCATGAGTTGTAAAGTGCATGCAAAAACCCGCGCATGCATACATACA